ATGACAAAACCGTGACTCTACTAAAAATACAAAAATTAGCCAGGTGTGGTGGCACACACCTGTAATCTCAGCTACTCGGGTGGCTGATGCAGGAGAATCACTTGAATCCCCAAGGTGGAAGTTGCAGTGAGCCGAGATTATGCCACTGCACTCCAGCCTGGGCAACAGAGTGAGACAGTCTCAAAAAAAAAAAAAAGAGAGAGAGAGACAGAGAGAGATTTATGATAAAAATATGCATTTCAGTATGTAAGTAACAGACATGATTTTAGCAGAAGACATACTAACCAGATGCTAATATCTAGACATAAAGTCATAGTGAATGTAACAATTACAAATGCTCATAGACTGGTATACTGGTGACTCAATGCCATAAACATAATTTGATTTTTTGAAATGGTGAACCATTGGCCAAGTTTAGAACAAAGCAAAGTACAAGCTTCCCTCATTGTTTACTGTAGTTACATTTCTAGATAATTCAGTGCATGTTAAAACTGAACAAAATATACTTTACGTTCCAACAATGTTTCAAATTTACTTAATTATAAAAAAGTGTTTCACCTACACAGATATCCAATGAAACACTCAGAGGTCCTGCAGAATGCAGAGCTAGTCTTTGTTGTTTACAGACTGTCCCACACACTACTGGACTACTACCTATCCTGGACCTAAAATGCCCTTAAAAATCATTCTGTTAACTAGAAACATCCTCACAAACTTCTAGAACACCTTCTAGAAAGCAATACTACCCCTACCACTGCCCCCTTGAGAACCACAGCTCTAAGAGTATTATTCCTGACTGAAATAGCTGTGCCTCAGAAAAACCAAGGAATACACAAGCATAATAAAGTATTTGCCAAATCACTGCTGATTGTAAATGCTCATTGTTAATAGTTTGCATGAATTAAAACAGATAAGGTGTCTATAATTAGTTCTGAAAGAGACACTTAAATTTAGCTTTGTTTTCAAGTCAAAAGAAATTCTTAAACAACACACGTATCTGCTGCACAAGAAAACTGAAGGAGAAAAATAAGGCAGGCAAACACTGACACTTGTGGTCATTCTGAGATTGCTTATTTGCAATCAGGCTAATTCTTGCTTTGTGAGTTTCAAGGAAAGTAAAGCTGGTTCATAAATAATCCACTGACTTTAGAAGAAAATTACAAGCTTTTAATAAACATTTTACTTCTCTTCAAAAAGGGGAAACTACCTACACTAATATTAAATAACCAAAAAACAAGTCATTTGTCCAAATCCTTTATGTAATGAAAAAGACTGCATCTGATTATAAATAAAAACAGTCAAGAGAAATAAACTCCAAGCAAACATTACACAAAATTGTCTAGTCATCTCAATAAAACTAAAATTGGTCTCTAAATAATTGTGTCAAGTGACAGTTTTCAGAGTGGTATGGTGGAAATTATACCAGATCTAAAACATTAAGATTTTTGTCCAGTATGGAAAAAAATAGCTGGTACTTCTGGTAAGCCCTAGCTGAAATTAATTACTTGAATTCAGGGACCAACCACTTACAATAAAGCACAAACAGGAATGGAGACCAATATAGGAAGACCAGATTCATGTCTCCCTTCTAATGTTACTCAAGGATATTTGCTCATTCCCATTAAATGAAAAACATCCATCCTGGTTGAAGGGCCCTCCCCCTACCCTTTCTCTTTTAATCTTTTTACCAAGGACATATTCGTTGAATGTACATACATAGATAAATAGATGATATAACTCCATGAGTTACTATTTAGTAGCCACTTGAACAGCAGATTTACATCTGATTCAACATGTAATAATCATTCAAAACCATTAACTACCTGAATACAAAAATAACTATTTCTACACCCAGTAAAAACTGAGACTTAGAAGGCATTACAATTCCTGTCTTTAAATTTTGACTCCTTGAAGTCTATACTAGACATGCCCAGAAAAATGCTAAAACCAGTCTGGACAGCTCTGGCCATGATGCACATAGTAATGGCCACCTATTTTTTCCATCACGGATGTGTTGTAAGATTAAAAACAGGCTTATGCAAATGACAATTACAAGCCATTTATAACTATAAAACTTGACAGAATAGCTGCCAGTTTGCTAAGTCTGACAAAGAAACCTTGTCACATTTACTGAGTTAGTTTAACCATAGAATTCAGATGTTAAAAGAAACTAGACTAAAGGAAGAACTTCTACAAGCTCTCCTGTCATAAGATTTTTACAGTTTCTCTTGACTGGAAACATGCAGGTTGCCAGAAAAAGTTACTAAAGGAACTTTATCTCACATCTGCCCTGTTTTCCTGAACTTTTACATAAAGTTCTTAACTAACTTAAACTTAGCAAACAGGTTGGCCAGGCACTGTGGCTCACGTCTGTAATCCTAGCATGTTGGGAGGCCAAGGCAGGCGGATCACCTGAGGTCAGGAGTTCCGGACCGGCCTGGGCAACACAGTAAAACCTTGCCTCTATTAAAAATACAAACATTAGCCGGGTGTGGCAGCACACACCTGTAATTCCAGGTACTCGGGAGGCTGAGGCACGAGAATCTCTTGAACCTGGGAGTCAGAGGTTGCAGTGAGACAAGATCATGCCACTGTACCTCAGCCTGGGCAATAGAGCAAACCTCTGGGGGAAAAAAAAAAAAGGAAGGAAGGAAGGGAGGGAGGGAGGGAAGGGGTTGCGGGTATACTTTAAAGTATGAAGTAAATGCCAGTTAAGTACACAGGCACCATTTGTTAGTATTTGGAAGTTTCTTCCTGTTTAAATACTTGCCCCATAACAAGCAAAGTTTCAGTGGCGGGGGGAAACCCACTGGAAATTCAGGGACTCAACCCAATACTGGAGGGACCCACTAATGAGTAGGTTACCCATAAAACTCTCTTAATAATCAAAATCTATAATAATCCAGGGAGACATAAAAAAAATCCAATCAAAAGAACTGGCAAAAAATAATAATTATTTAGTCCTTCCCTGGAGAAACGGGTAGGGAATGTCTCTAAATCAACTTTGTTTCCCCTATACATAATAAGCTATGCCTAAATGCACATGTTGGTACACAGTAGTTAATCAATACGTACCTGTTGAAAAAGTGAAAATATAAACATTCATTTACTATTCTGTTAATGATTCCTGGGTATGCTGTGCCAGTGTTCGAGGGAAAAAAAAAAAAAAAACTCCCACAATTTCTCTAATAGTGCCATGTAATACAAAGTTTAAGAACAGAGAATGATAGTACTAGATAAATTTAAAAAAAAAAAAAAAAAAAAACAGAGGATAAGAATTTAGATAATCTTGCTTCAATTCCCAGCTTGGCCTCTATTCTTACCAGTATTTATCTGACATTTGGACTAATTATTTTACAATTCCAGACACTGGTTCCTCATCTTTTAAGTGGGTATTACAATAATAAAACTATTAGAAAAGAGCCATTTGCATAACAGCTCAAGTAAGCTTAGCACACAATCTGATTTTGAGTAAATACTTCATAAAATGGTCATTGTGGCTAGCTTCACAGTCAAATCCTATGTAAGGAATCACTGATAAATAAATACTGATCTACAAAAATGCATCTGTACTTCTGGAAAATAAGTTATTTTAAGTAAGTTCTTAAGCATTACTCTATTAACTAGTCAACTAATTTTAAAAACAAAAAGGTAGTGAGTGAGAACTGTAGTATGGGTGGATATAGACTACAAGGAAGTTGGGTTTTAGTCCTCTTCTTCAAACTACGAAAAGTCAAAGATCAGTCTAGGCTTTAGGTTTCCCATTTATAAAATTCTTTTTATTTTTTTCTTTAATGATCCTTCTAACATTTCTAATACAGTGGGGTTCTTAAAACTACAAAGCACATTTCATCAGCAAAGCTCAAAAATATGTGCACAAAAATTTTTTGAGTATCAGAGAAAATATAAACTCATATTCATTTGAAATAGCAGATATTAATGGGGGAGACAGATGAGAGGAAGAATATGCATGTAACTGTTAACCTTTAGCTTAAGCTCCAAAACTGTAACTTTGTAGGATTGAATTACTGTCCCTAGAGTCTCAGAGGAAAAACTGATAATAAAGGCTATTTACAACAAAAAAAACATTTAAAAAAACCTCCCTACTGCTCTGCAGTAAGAAAAGCAGCAAGGTGCCAGCCCCAGAAACTAACCATATAAGAAAAATCTCAGTGAGTATGTAGTGCTAATAAAATCTGCTTCATGGCAAGTTATTAAATCTTACTGAAACATCAGAGTAAGTAAACATAATTAGTAAAATCTCATTACCCCCCAGATCCTACACAAGTGTGCTATATCTATTATATCATTTTACTGAATTCTACGATACATGTAATTTTAAACAGAAAGAAAAATAAATAAAAAGTAAATGCCAACATTAAAAAGTGATTTAAAGTGAAGTTTTCTGCCATCAAGAACACCAAAAGCCACATAAGAGCAAAAAAGAAGTGGGCTGTATCACATCATGCATTAGTAAAGTAATCCATGACAGCTTATTTATATAAACCCCAGAAAACTGGGGGGTGGGGAAAGGGGGGAGGAGATCTAAGTTACAAAGATATATGGCTTCAATAGAAACCATAGGTCTTAACTAGACATTAGTAAAATCAAGAGCAATTTGAAAGCAGGAAAAAAAAATTCAAGAAGAGAATGCACTGAAAGGGTTAAATTACACCAACTTACACACAAAAGCTTATACTGCCTACACCCTACAAAAGCATGTAAGAAACATTAAAACTAACCTCTAACAGAGAAAACATTCAGAAAGCCTGTACTTAAGAATAAAGTTAAAAGGAAATAAGCTGGAAAAAATAAAATCATAACCATTCATTTTATAATCATCACATTTTCAAATTATTCACTCATCACTACACTTGCATTGAACATATATAATTTATCACATAAAAGCAAAATCTCTAAGCTTCTCCCTACCTTAGGTTTTTAGTCAAAATGAATGCAAACAATCACGTGGGATTCAGCCAAGCAGTGACGTTAAATTCTGCTCTGTCAGAGAGAGCATCTGTCAAGCCCACATTTAAACTGCTGCCTGCCTGTGCAGCAGCTGAGGAACCGTGGATTTCATATTATAGACTAAAACCCCATTAAAACTGCTCGAAATCCTTCCCGCAGCTGCCAGGCAACAACGAAAGAAGAGAGGTAAATCTTATGCTTTTCCAATACAACTGAAGCACCACATTTTAGCTCTGGCTGCTTTACATTGCAGCTCAGTGTTATTACTAGAAATATGGATACTGAGGCGAGAACACAGCACTGCATTGTCCAGCCAGGAAAATAGCAGATGTAAAAAGCTTCAATGCATCAACTGTCGGGAAGAGTCAACAGTGCTACAAGCAGAACGGACAACTACAGCTCTTTTGTTTAACGAAAGAGAGAGAAAACGAAAGAAAGGGAAAATTTCAGAAGACTAGGACCCATATGAACAAGGAGGGTAACTCGAAGACAAGCAGACAGATGGACACTTTGGATACTGTGAAAAGCAATCGCAGGAGGCAGACTGTTGGGGGATGTGCGCATGTTCGATAGCATCTTTTTTGCTGAAGTGATGGCGTGCCAAAAGTATTTTCAGTGGGCATAATCCTCTTCACACAAATGGCCTGACCAAGGAAGGTATGTCAATATCTTGTGTATGATAGTCATTTAAATGTGTTACCTTTTTATAGCCCTGGAGGCAATAATACCTGATAAGCAAGTTCATACAGTTCACTGCCCTTGAAACTATGAAAGGGTTTCTTAATATCTGATTTTAAAATTTGTCATTGTTTAGAAGACAAGCTGTCACTGCTTTATGCAGCTAAATATGTAGCTTGGAGTAATTCTGGGTTATAGACATCAGAGGGAAAAGGCAAATAAAAAGAAGATGTGTTTAAAGGATTCCTTAAGAAATTAAACTTAAAAAAAAAAATCTGTAGCCCTTTACAAAAAAACACAGCAATATTCTATCAAATTGGGTCATACTGAATCCTTATCTAGTGAATTAAATGTTCTCTTAAAAATGGCTATCAAAAGAGACAATGCAGTGAAATTACATTAAATAGTAGCAAGGAAAACCTTAAGAGTTTTTTTTCAGAGTCCTTTTAAAACAAAACCTTAATATATAACAGTTTTTAGTAACAAAATCTTCCCTCCAACATCTCCCTAAATGAAGATAATGAACCCAACCAAAGAAAGTATCAACAAATTTTATTACCAAGCTATAAGAAGATACTAAAAGGAAAGCATTAACACAAGATCACATAAGGTAGTGTGAGTTTATGCATAACCCCACAATAGAGCCTCATGTTATTATAGTGTCCATGAATAGAACTTTAAACAAAGGGACATCAATAGTTGATTTAAAAATTAACTATTTTAAATAGCTTATATTTTATGTAAAAGACTGATTCCAAATGATCAAATTTAACGTTGTCTCTGATTATCATTTTAAAAGTGAAATTCAAAAACATAATATGAAAATACTTTGATACAAAAATACCCACAAACGGCAATACAAGGTCAAAAAATTACATATAAATGTAGCTACTATGCTTCCAGGCTATATTAATATGCAGTAATGAACTACTACCACTATATGTGTGTGCAGGGCACAGATAAATCAAACTATTTTAGCAACAATCATAGAATAGCAACTCAGGGCTCAAAAACACAAAGATATTTCTAAAATTTTACAAATCTATCAAAGATCCTGATTCTTCCTCAATTTCAAACCACAACTCAGTAATTATCTAATATTCACAAAAGGCAAACATTTTAAAAATATGTAAGTCCTGCATTCCAAAGTGACGATTAAACAAGTTTACCAGACTCTATTACATCTCAACATCACTCTCAATCATGAATTTTTATTCTAATAAAGACTAATAATAAATAGTACTAAAAAATATGGTTGTAAAAATTTCAAGTCCCTCTTGCTACCTTTATCTCTCAATATTAAAGTCACCAATTAAGCAGCTTTATAAGCTATATATCTCAAAACGAAAGTGTAAGTTTTTCTATTAAACCATCACCAATAGACTAAAGATATCAACACTTTTAAAAGTCAAATGATAAAAACTGTGTACTGAACAACATTTTACAGTAACATTCTCCCCACGAACTTCATCCACAAGTTATAAATACAAATTAATAACGTAAAGATATCAAAAAAGAGAAAAACCAAAGCTATTTATTTTCTAAAAATGTAAAAGTGCAAAACTATTCTGCATACTATTGAACTTTCTTGTCTTGCTCTCTCTTTTTAAGAATTAAAATACAACAGGCAATAACTGGAGAATAATTTTATCACTTAATAAAAAGGAGGCATGGTTATTTTAATTTTATATTCTTTTTAACAAAAAAATTTGTAAGACCTGAGAAACTTTTAATAAGGAATTTTTTAAAGGCTAGACACATGCACTTCATTTATCAATGGGAGATTTATAGTTACATATGGATTTAACATCTCAGTAGCTTAATATCTAAAACATACAAATACCATGAAGTCTAAATTAAGATGCAGCTCTATCACACACTGTTACAAAATCATATTAGGACCAAAACTATGTATTTATGCTAGATTACAATATGCAATAATTTGCTGCTTTCTGTAATACTAAAATAGTTTGGAGACATGACTTTGGGTATATTGTTCTTATAAAAGCAACAAATTATGATTATTTTCCATCATTCATTTACTCAGTCCTTTAACTCAAACATCCATTGAAACACCTGACCTTATTGTTTACTCCTTCTTACACCATCAAATTTACACTTTAAAAAAAAAATCTAAATGACTGGACTTCAATCAGATTCCAAGTGTTATTATATCAGAAGAAAACAGATATACTTAATTTATCTTTGTAACACTTATTTTGTTTCTTTTAAATTTACATACACAACCTTTATATCTACTGGTGTCTTTATGAAGTGGAGGGGAGAGTCATTACTATTTACCAAATATGTCATTTGGAAAAAAAAGCTTAAAAATAGTTCCCTAGTCTAAAAAGAATGGCCAGCTACTTACAAGTACAAGAAAGAAAACACGGAGTTTCTAAATCAGAATGCTCAGCTGTATTATTTTCAGCTTAGCTCACAGCAGAACTATGTTTTGTTGGTACAGTGAATAGCCTTGGTTTTCATTATAGTAATGTTGAGTTTAAATTCATGTAAATAAATTCCAACAAATAGCACACTAGATGATTTGCTTTTAAAATTCCAAACTTAAAAAAATTGTTCACATCTTTCAAAATGCTTAATTTTTTTACATTTTAGAAATAATAACTTCTAAAAGTACTCTGTAAGCTCAGAAACTAGAAATTTCAAATGCTGGTGCCTCTACGGTTGGACCTTAGATATCTGTTCAAATTCCCACCTACTTGCTCCTCCTAGTGGCGGCTACTATAATAGTACTTTCATTCATTTATGTCTAACACTTTCAATCAGTATTTTCAAAGTACTTAACACTATGTATGTGAATTTTACTTTGTAACTATTCAATTATATGGAGATTTCCATATAACTTCTATTTCCTAGAAGTAATTAAATTTATGCCAAGGTTAAACAAATTTAATGTTAACCATGACTCTCTCAATATCACAGGCTAAATATACATTTATGTATACACTGTAATTTCAAATAAATGCTCCTATATTAAAACTTTTTAATTAATTTATTTTGCTTAAAGAAGTAATTTTCATAATAAAAAGTTGGAAAAATTAAAATTACATATTCATCACTCTTTCTTGCCAAAAAGTTTTTTCCTGTTTTAATGGAATTCAAACCATAGCTCTTCGCCCACCTCTACTCCCTTGACATATTGGTCCCAAAAAACTGAAAACAACAACAAAAACACTAACAACAAACATGAACAAATCTGTGCTATGCACTGAAAACCTTGTTGCAAGATACCATAACCAGTTTTTAACATACAGCATCATGAACCTCACATATTGCCATCTCATATCTTTATAAAATACAGGGCTCTAACTGTGCTAATGACAAGTTCTAAAAGTTTAACAAATTGTCTGCATGTAAATTTAGAATAAAGCACAACTCAAGGATATTTAAAACTATACTGTGAAATTCAGAATTTTAAACAGTTGGTTTCAAAGTAACTCTTTTAATTCTAACATGGAGACTCAACCAAGACATGTAACAGTGTTCTGCCAAAGCCATAGATAATCAAAGAAAATTACATGCTATATTTTAAAATTAATCTTAAGTCTAAGAACAATTATATCATGAATACTTCATATGTACAATGAAAAGTTAAAAATTTTGAAAGTGTTAATCATTTATTACTGTCTAAAAATCCTACACTGAAGTTATTGGACACTGAAAATTAATTTTGACAGGTGCATCTTCTCATTGACTCTCTCAACACAGTAGGGGCCAATGGAAACATGCCAAGCAGTGTACTGTGACTAACAGAACTCTGCCATAATCAACCTTGCACCGTCTGTCCCACAACTGATACATGACCATTTTACAAAAAAGGCCTCTGACTGCGCACCATACCACCAATAGTATGTCAAATCAATTTTAATTAATGCCAATAAATTTTCCATCTGCTCTTAAGGCCTTTTTACACAATCTTTCTCAGAAATCTAGTAACGTTTTTCTCAAATACATGCAACTTTTAAATCTTTAACTTGGGTCAAAAGTACAAATGACCAGCGTACCATGGTAGACAATGAAATGAATAAATCACCTCATCTCTTTAAAATGCTCACCGTGCTAAAAAGGTATATTTTTAAATAAATTAATCTTGTTCTCAGTGATGTTATGTTGCCAAGGGGAAATAAATTATAAGCTTCATTCCTGGATTATATTTTCACAGCTTAAGACATTCCTATTTGCCCTGATCATATTAGTATCCAAAGTCCCTTTCAGGCAGTTCTGTAAACTTTTGTGCTTCATTTTTGTAGAATGACTACAAGAGAGACAATGTGACTGAATTAGAAAATGATTGCCAAAGAATAGTATTAAGGAGAAGAAAACATTTTTGGTCACCAATCTCTCATATACCACTACCGGACATTTACAACATGCTTCAGTGGAGGAGAAGACACTGCTGCTTTGCAAAGATGACCTGGAATGCCAAGAGGTCTCTGTTCCGCACTCATCTCATTGGAGTACTTTCTCTAGTGTTTCTTTTTGCTATGTTTTTGTTTTTCAATCATCATGACTGGCTGCCAGGCAGAGCTGGATTCAAAGAAAACCCTGTGACATACACTTTTCGAGGATTTCGGTCAACAAAAAGTGAGACAAACCACAGCTCCCTTCGGAACATTTGGAAAGAAACGGTCCCTCAAACTCTGAGGCCTCAAACAGCAACTAACTCTAATAACACAGACCTGTCACCACAAGGAGTTACAGGCCTGGAGAATACACTTAGTGCCAATGGAAGTATTTACAATGAAAAAGGTACTGGACATCCAAATTCTTACCATTTCAAATATATTATTAATGAGCCTGAAAAATGCCAAGAGAAAAGTCCTTTTTTAATACTACTAATAGCTGCAGAGCCTGGACAAATAGAAGCTAGAAGAGCTATTCGCCAAACTTGGGGCAATGAAAGTCTAGCACCTGGTATTCAAATCACACGAATATTTTTGTTGGGCTTAAGTATTAAGCTAAATGGCTACCTTCAACGTGCAATACTGGAAGAAAGCAGACAATATCATGATATAATTCAACAGGAATACTTAGATACGTACTATAATTTGACCATTAAAACACTAATGGGCATGAATTGGGTTGCAACATACTGTCCACATATTCCATATGTTATGAAAACTGACAGTGACATGTTTGTCAACACTGAATATTTAATCAATAAGTTACTGAAGCCAGATCTGCCTCCTAGACATAACTATTTCACTGGTTACCTAATGCGGGGATATGCACCCAACCGAAACAAAGATAGTAAGTGGTACATGCCACCAGACCTCTACCCAAGTGAGCGTTATCCTGTCTTCTGTTCTGGAACTGGTTATGTTTTTTCTGGAGATCTGGCAGAAAAGATTTTTAAAGTTTCTTTAGGTATCCGCCGTTTGCACTTGGAAGATGTGTATGTAGGGATCTGTCTTGCCAAGTTGAGAATTGATCCTGTGCCCCCTCCCAATGAGTTTGTGTTCAATCACTGGCGAGTCTCTTATTCAAGCTGTAAATACAGCCACCTAATTACCTCTCATCAGTTCCAGCCTAGTGAACTGATAAAATACTGGAACCATTTACAACAAAATAAGCACAATGCCTGTGCCAACGCAGCAAAAGAAAAGGCAGGCAGGTATCGCCACCGTAAACTACATTAGAAAAGACAATTTTTTTTTCAAATGTGCAATTTGTAAATATTGCTAAAAGCATGTATAGTTAGAACTGATTACATCCGTAGGACAAGTTTAAGTTAAAACTCACCACATAAAGAAATTCAAAAAGTATTTTTTTAATTTCTGAAGAAGTTAAGTCTTAAAACTATAACATTATATAACAAAAAAGCTGTCCCAAAAGATCTATTTAAAAAACTGTATAAGGGGATTCTGTGTATTAACATGCAATAATAAGCATGCATAAATCAACGGTTCAAGTCCTCTGTTAGGGGCCAATAAAATGTATCTGCATACATTTTCCACATAAATTTTAATTTAAGAAATGACAGTCAAAAGATCCTTCATTTTAGATATAGCTTTTCATTTTAATATATAATTAAATGTAAATAAAACATCACTATCAATTTTAAGAAAACTTTGTAATTGTGCAGAGGATAAATTTTTTGACCTGACTATTTTAGGGTTCTAAATGCAATAAGATTTAGTTGAGTTATTCCACAAACACATTATAAAGTTCAGATGTTTCATCAATGCAGTTCTCATGAAAGTATTTACTTTTTAAAAATAACTGAGATATTCTTTTAAATTTCTTTTATTAATACATATATCGGGGAAAATTATTTTGACATGACGTGATAAAATGTGAAAAACTAATGTGTCTCAGGCTCAAGTTTTTAGTTATTAAATGTTTCAAAACAGACAAGTTTTGTTTCCTCATTGGTGTTAAGAACCAAACTGCTATTTCAATGAGTTATTCAATTAGACCAATTACTGCACTTTTAAACAGCACCACCATTTAATTTCATGTATATCTGACTTCGAATATATCTGTAAAGATAATCGAAGCAAAATTAATTACTTAAAGGCACAAATAGGATGTACTGTTGAAAAAAGATAAAGAGTATGGTGCAGTTTCATTCAATACATTTTTAAGATGCATGTCTGCCAAAATGTAACATACGGGAAGTTTACTTCCTGACAGCAGGTGTACACATACCAATACTTAACCATTTTATGGCACCTATTTCTTTCTTGGAGTGCCAAGTTTACAAATCTGCAGTTTTTAATTTGGTAGATGACAAATATTCTGAATCACCAATTAAAAACCCTTTGGGGAGGGATGGGGAAAACTATAAATGTTTGACAAACACAATTCTAGGATGAACAATGTATACAATGCACTTTTATCAACTTTTTAAAAATAAAGGAAAACAAAAAACTTTACTGAGTGTTATGATACAAGTATTTTCACAGTAATTTTGACTCCATCATGAATTTTAAAATCAAGAAAACACCAACCTACTAACCAAAATAGTGTTTTCATTCCATACAAGTATGTAAATTTGTCTATTTTTAGTCAGAATGTTTCTTAATTCTAATAACAATCATTTTTACCTCTGATTCTATTATTAAGGGATAAATTACCAGAAGAGAATTGTAACATTTGTGAAACTTGAAAACACTGAAACTGTTTAAGTACTTATCTCCATTTCAAATCAGTAGACTAAGTGTTCTATTCTAAGTGAAGTGATTCTGAAAGCTGATCTATGTAACGCACCCCAGTTCTTGGATCAAGTCTGTTTTTAACTTAATTTATCCTATATGACTACAGAAACACCAGAATTACTTAATAAAAGTCACACATAAGAGGATAATACCAAATCAGATCAGTATGTTTGACAGAAGACAAAAGGAATCCTTCCCTCAGTATAGAATAATATTCTCTGATTTATGCCACAAAAGTTAAAAAAAAAAAAAAGTGTGTGAGTGTGTGTGTGCAAAGGTGTGTACATAGAAAGAGAACTCAAGTACTATTTGTCCAAATTATGACTATAGTGCAAGATCTTTAAAAGAGTAATTTCCATCTGGAAAAAGTTTTTATAAAAATGACTCATGAAAAACAGATAACAGACACCTAAATTCTTCCTATCTCAAGTTTCAATTTTAAATCTATAAAATCTATGTAAATTTCTATATTCCTAACACTATCTTGAAAAACGACAGTAATCTGATATCAGACACTGTGAGTCCTCAAAGGGGATTGGACCAAATAGTATAAAGTGTCTTTATTCTGTTGAAAATCCTTACTTTAAAATAAATATTCTGTTAGTTTACTTTTGACTTTTCCGCAACAATATTCAAATCGTTTTCTTAAGCAAAATAAGTTGATAGTGTATATAAACATCTCACCACTTGTTAAATGTACCTTCTTCATCCCAATGCTATGTGATCTTTATGTACATACAAATATAATTTTAAACGACAGCTTTGCTTTTGGTCAAAGGGTACAGAAATAACTATGTAATCTTTATGTTCAAAGTGTTAATAGGTACTTCAGAAGATGAAAACACCAAAACTTTCAATACTTACAACACTTGTTTATTTTGATCAAGTATATCAGTGCTGAAATTCTAATTCAACCAAATAATTGAGATTTCTCCTCACACCTCTTTGTATACAGCATAATCACACATAATCTCAACTGCAATTTTATTGATATTCTATTTCCAGCAAATTCTACAAAAATAATACCAATAACAGCAGTAGAAACTATTTACTGATTGTACAAGCAGTATGCTTGGTACTGTGTTGAAGCACTTTACATACACGATCTCATACAACCCTCATGAACAACACTAAGAGACAGGAAAGACTTGTGTTAAGAGGTTAAATACCTAAGATCATACAGCTAGTAAAGCAGCAGATTTCCATTTCAAGGATCATGTTCTTAATCATTACACTGCTCTGCTATTATTTCACATCTGACAGTTGATTAAAAAAAAAAAAAGTCTAAAGCTGAGCAAAAATGGTCTGTCCCTTTACATTCCCATTCTCTGTTCTTCATCCTTTGCCAGGCCTCCAGGCTTCATACCACTTTCACACACTGGAGGGGCACCTGATATCAGGAGCAATAAAGACAAAAGAAAAGAGAGTATATCTGATCCCCCAATTATTTTCTCTTCTTTTCAGTTGTTTAATGGTGACAGGAACCTTTGCAAAGCATACATATTACTGCTTATCTCTTGCTTCTTTGGACCCTGAGGCACAACTGTAAACAGCAGGCAGGTGGCACTTAGAAATTATAAAATATGCTTCTTTTTGAAGCACAACTGCTAATTTTTAATAGATAAAAGTAGAACTGCATTTACCCATCCTACTCTCTGGTCACCTGCCATTTTGTCATGAGAAGGTAAAACCAGTTTATCCAAACTATTCAGATAAATTTTCTTTTTCTGTCTTTTACTGTTTAGCTAGGAAATTTCACTATGAGATTAACATAGCTTTAAAAAGTAGGAAAAAAAATTCCTGTTGACAGACATTTCTAAGGCATCTCCAAGAATTTCAATGTATCATTTAGACATCACTCCCAGAAGGCAGACGATGGACATTAAATACTAAAATGGGATAGAAAATCCACTACCACCAAATTTTACAGTAATAAAATTGTTTGGTGCTCCTATGATGATTCCTTAACGCTCTGTAAGACAGTGTCCTCTGTCTGCTATGCCACCTGAACAAATCCTTGCAAATGGATCCAAGAAAAACTTCCCCTAAAGAGGACATGCTGAAGATTTTGTGTCTGTTCATAACCAGTATCCACGACCAAGACTCAAAAAAGCAAAACAGTTCTTGTGTATACAACATAATAGAGTTGATACTACGTTGCAATAAATGTCTTATTACTGGGAAAAGATCGGGCAAACAGGGTTTAGGGGCCTATATTCGCACCACCATGAGGGAGAGCCAACATAGCCCCAAAAGTAACCACAAAACTGACTGCCTGGGTCTGATACGATGTAAAATGTTGTCTAAGTCTAGAGATTAATGAACAAAGAAAAGTAGTCCACTATTTCATATTTGTTTAACATTTAAAATTTGTTTTAAAAATGTGTTTAAAATTGTATTCCCTTATCAGGGTCTGTTTGTCTTCTGACAGGGTTAATGAAAAACATAACTACAATCTTCTTCCTAACAGATTCATGCAAGAGAGGGAAGAGAATGACTCCTATATACTTCAGATAGAAAGCTAATAGTGGGCAAAAAAAAAAGACAAGTAAACTTGATTTTTACAAAAGTAAAGTTTTAATCAAAGGTCATAAGAAAAACCTCTAATTTAGAGTACAATTATACCTCAGTATCTGTGGGGAATTGGCTCCAGGACACTCCACAGACACCAAAATCCACAGATGTTCAAGTTCCTTATATAAAATGGCATACTGTTTGCATATAAAATATGCACATCCTCCTGCATACTTTAAGTCATCTCTAGACTACTTATGATACCTAACACAATCTAAATGCTACGTAAATAGTTGTTACGCTGTATTATTTAAGAAAAAATAACTCACAAAAGTCTGTACATGTTCAGCACAGGCATTGTGGGTTGGTTGGTTTGTTTGTTTAAATATTTTTGATCAGCAGTTGGTTAAATCTACGGACGTGAAACCCACGAATATGGAGTGCCAACTGTATCTGTATGTCTATAAGTCATGTACACTTAATATAAACTAAAACCTAAGTTATCTTCTATCATCCCAAATTTAGTACTTTTTCAGTATTCCCTATCTCAGTGCATGGCTAACCGTAGTCAACTGGCACACAGGAGTACCAAGAATCACCTTCGCCACTTCTTTCTCTTGCTATTGCCCATATCCATTTAACCCAAAGACTTACTTGGATCCCTACTGGAATCCACCTACTTTTCTTCATCTTGCCCCTCTTTAAAACAGCATCACTCATTTTTGAACTACTGCAATACCTTTATAGACAGTTTCCTTATATCCACATAATCTGTTGCCAATATTACAGTCAGAATGTTACTTTCAAAACACAAAGCTAGGGATGCCATCCCACTAATTTGATGGCTTCTCAATGTACTTAGGATAAATACCAAAATCCCTAAAACCCTTGGCCAGTTACAAGGCCCATAAATGATTCTCTTCCTTACTAAAGCTAATCCCTCTACCCAATCTTTTGATTCCATTCATACCTCCTATCTCACTGTAAATTATTCTCTCTCTCCCTCGGGGCTTATTTAAAAGAAAAAAAAAAAAATCCTGGATAAGGAATAGTGAATTACAACTTGACTCAATTAAACAGTTTAAAGCATTTTCATTTTATTTAAAGGAAAATGTTCTACAACATCAAATCAAGTTTTCTCTACAGTGAGAAAGGATAGTAGTGACATGGAGAGAAGGGATTCCAGAGATGTAAGCAGGTAAGGTCTATAGGCCTTCATGATGGCTGGATACTAGAGATGAGAGGGGAGTAAGTGGCAAGGATGATGCCTAAGACACCGGCCTGAACACTGACAGGGTCATTTACTGAGAGAGAAAACACTGTATAAAGAACCTGATTTGCCAGAAACAATGTAATAAAGAATCATCAAGCAATGTCTAAAAGGATTGTCAAGTGGCACTGAGGGCCTATAGAGATTACAAAGCATCATTAAAAATATGAATTATAATTACCACTCTACGCCCATATGAAAGTATGAAAAATAACTAAAAATATATAATATAGGCTTCAGATTCATTTGAAAATACTTTTCAAGCAACACTTACATGCAAAATACTCTGTTCTCAGCACTGGAGATATAGTGGAAGGCAGGAAAGACATAGTTTCTACCTTCAAATTCATATAAAGAAAGATAATCAAAGAAAACAAATGAACAACAAGATAACTAGAAGAAAAAGGGTCCTGAAGAAGTGGCTGCTGAACTGAAATCTGAATAATCAGAAGGAATCAGTCTTATTAAGAGCAAGGGGAAGAATATTCCAGACAAACAACTGAAGGACAAAGGCTAAGAGGTAAAGAACTTGCCAAGTTGTTGAAAAACTCTGAAAAAGTCACCGAAAAAGACTTGTAGTCAAGGCCTTTTTTAATATGTACTGTTCCTTTAGAGCATGGAACTGTGGATAGAATTCAGAAGAATTTTAACGGGAAAAAAATTTACAATTTTATTTTCATTAATCTCTAAATGAAATTAATTCTTTCTTCAGGAATTATTATTATAATTCTTCAGTATTATTATAAATGGTTACAACTTTGTCACCAACAAAGATCAGATTTTTTCATAACATTAGAATAAAGATATCACATAACATAAAATAAAGATATTACGTAAGCTCATTATACTTCTAAAATCTGGTATTTATCAAATTTGCCACTAGATCGAGTTACACAATGCATTAGTAAAGAAGCACAAATCATGTCATAAATGT